ACCGCAAAATTGGCGTTTTTCGACACCTTGTTCAAATCTTTCCAAGCCGCCACGAAAAATCTCAAACAAGCCAAAACAGAGGCGGCAGGCGGCGACAGCACGGCGCTTGAAATGGTCGGTTTTCTGGAAAAAAATATTGCCAAGATTAGAACCGAGATGGCTGAATGGGACAAGAGTCCCCTTTGAGGGACAGCCCGCGGTCCCTCCCCGATTCCACATGTGCAAGAGCGATCGATTGTGTTTTAGCGCCGGTTGGTGTAAGATCGTTCGTGTGTGGGCGGGGGAGGGAGGGGGAGAGGGCAGATCGCTTTCACTTGCCGTACCGTTTGTCTTTTGTCGGGTGTGTGTTTGACGAGTGCGCCACGTGTAGAATACGCATGGAGAACGCGTAGCGCACGCTTGATGTTCGATGTTTTTTTTTGCCACGAACAGCAGTACCACTTATCATTTTTTATGGTGGCGTTTTTTTACAGATGANCGATGTTTTTTTTCGCCACTTACAGCAATACCACTTGTTTTTTTTGAGTGTTTTTCACAAACCACCGCGTGCATTCGTAGATGACTAGGGGGGGACACACGCAGAGCGAACGTGTGGCGCACAACCAAAGTTTCCTTTTTTTTTAGACACGTACAGCAGTGCCACTTGTCTTATTGTTTGTAGTGTTTCTTTACAGATGACCAGGGGGGGGGAATACGCAGAGAGAACGTGTGGCGCACGACCAAAGCTCGTTTTTTTTTTGCCACGTACAGCAGTACCACTTGTTTTTTGTTCTGTGGTGTTTCTTTACATATACCTAGGGGGGCGGGCACGCAGAGAGACCGTATGGCGCACGACCAAAGTTCGTTTATTTTTAGCCACGTACAGAAGTACAGCTTGTTTGTTTTTGGTCGGTATGTTTTTCACCAACCACCGTCTGCATTCGTAGATGCTTCGGAAACAACGTCTCCTCACGACGCGAACGTAGTCAAATACAACGTAAAAAACGTTTTGAACGCGGATCCATTCACGATATTGTTATCCCGGGCTGTGGGAGCTGACCGTCTACGCCATGATGCTGTTCAGCCAACACTGTCTCCCTGGAGACAACATCGTCAAGTCAGAAAAAAAAAATATATATATACATATCTGTTACCATCTCGCATCACGCAACTATGACATGAAAAAATCCCCCCACACAGGGGGGAGGGTGCTCACCCTTACCCTATATGCCACACGTTATAAAGTACTTCTAAATGAGTTTGGAAACCTACATTATTCTTCGACATCTCTGCAATTCGAATTTTCTCATGCAAGAGATGCACAACGCAGGAATGACACTCAAACAAACGACGTCATGAAACAACACGAAATCTTACCGGACACCACTTGTAGATTACCCCGATTTATGATGTTTGTAACACATAAAACACGACTTCCGCAAAATTGCCTCCACGTCCTCGCAGAGGCGCATGTGGATTTCGCGCCCGACCCTCTCCCCCCGAAAAAAAACAACTGATCACCCGCCCGTGCGCCTTCCCTTCCCTTTCACCCACCCCCGCCCTACCCCACCAGAGGCGTTGCATTCCCGACCACGGTTGTCCACATCCGCCGCCCCGGCCACGGCCCACGCTCCTCAAAGGGCACCACGGCCGCATTTGCCTCGTCTCGTCCATCATCCACGCACTACGTCCTCGGGACCCACCCTCCACCACAGCCCGCCCGCGTTCGATCCCTTACGTCTTCCTCGCTGCGTTGCGCACCAAGTTGTGCTTTGGGCGGTACTGGCGCTTGTTGTCCAGCATCATCGTGATCCCCTTGCGCGTGGAGACTTCGCCTGACCTGGTCGGTTTCTGCGCGTCCTTGGTGGTCGTGCTGAAAGCTCCTGGCAGAGTCTTGTCGCCGAGTAGGTGGGGGCGTACCTGGACCACCTCCGCGTCTTCGTCCGACCGGTGGATTGGTGTGACCTTCTCGTCCCGGAGATAGTTGTGGAGGCGGAAGAGCGCCGTGATGAGGTCGCAGCGCCCAGCGAACTGAACACGCAACGGCTTCCACAGGATGCCCCACTGGCCGACGAGAATGCCGAACGCTTGCTCGATCCTGACTCTGAGTTGGCTCAGATAGAAGTTGAACGCGTCTTTGTCCAGCGGCAGTCCCCTCCCTGGGTACGGAGTCAACAGGTGGTCGCTTAGGGTGTAAGCCGCGTCTCCTAGCATGTACAAGCCTGGCGGCAGTTTTTTCACCGCTGTGGATAGATCCGAATGGTTCCATGCCGTCCAGTCATTGGTCGAGCCGGGTGCAATGCAAGACATGCTGCAAAACCGGTAGTTGGCATCGCATGCCGCCTGTACGTTCATCCCGTAGCCGCACATGCTCGCAGAATAATACGAGAGAACGTTCGGAGCTTTGAGGGCAGTCGGAGCAAGAGTCTTCACGAAGAGACCATCCCCCGCAGCTACCACACCCTGAAAGGCGCCGCCCGTGCTTTTTTCCTGAGAACAGATATGGCACGCGGGGAGGGACACAACAGAGGTGCCCTTAGATTCGTTAAAGTTAGATTTTCGCGCAGCGGCAAGCCCATCGACTACCCCAGAAAAAACGTACCGGTGTGTGCGGGCAAATAAAGACGAGCCCTCTCCTAGACATGCCAATCAACACAGTGCGACTGTTCGTGCCAATGTTCCCTGCACGCTGGAGCTCATTTCACCATGCATCAAGCCAATAAGTGGACACAATATATAGAGGTTTCCCCGTGCTTTCACAAGTGCTTCCCGCTCACTCCTTATTCGGTGTGTAAAGACAAGCAGGATATTCTGCCGAGCGGAGGATCGACATGCATGCATCCATGCAATCCGAGTCATTTGTTTTGGGCCAGATTCTGCAGCAGTGGTGCCTTGCTTGTGTACCATACACGTTAGGAGGCCTGTAGCCTACGGAAGAGGTGAAGTTGAACTGCTCTTCCGACACCAGACCCGTTAGGCATACCACAGCACAACACCTGTCTGTCCATCTTGGCCGCCTTGCCTGTTTTTGGCCATGTTGGCACGTACGTCTGTTCGCATACTGTAATCTATATTCGAAGTAATGTTGAAACTAACCCGCCACCAAACTCGATCATGTGTTGGTTCACAACATCATTATCACCTACCTCGAATGCAAACATGCAATCGACCCTGCTGCTGTAAACTAAATAGTGTATCATTGTCGCACCTCCCAGTCTGCCGCCTGCCGGGTGCACTCATCCTCGCTCTGCGGAAAAAAGAACGGCCCAACCTCTGCTGTGCTGTTGATGGCATCCACCACCTGCCACAAGATGCCGAAGACCGTCTCCTTGGACACGCCGAACAGCACGGCGACATCGATATACGAAGCACCGGCCATCATCCGCAAGCCGATAGCTAGTCGGATCTTCGTGGGAACAGCACCGCGTTGATACCGTTTGCCTGTTTCGCATGAAGCACAAAATAAGCATAGCGTGAACGTATCAGCAGACAGACGAAAATAGCAAGTGCTGGGCGGTGAAACTGTTACCCTAACCCTAGTCAGACACCAGAGGTCACCGTCCTGCTGGTGTAAACCGTCCTGCTGTTGTGCTAAGGCGGGCGGTGGTGCTGCGGGATGATTCGCTCTGTTCCTACAGCAGTAGTCTACTAGTCTACACTTTTAAACAGTCTAGTCTACACAAACATCAGTAGTCTTCTGCATGCAACACTTCAGCATCAGCAACAAACAAACACCACGGCATGAGTTCTGCGCCTCGTACGTCAATTACACAATCTCTCTCTTCCTTCCCCCTCGCCCCCCCATCTCTCCCTCCCGCCGTTCTCTATTCTCACTTGCGTAGTAGTCGTTCCGTTGGAGGATCGGTTCCAGCAACCCAGCCAGTTTGTTGAACACCGGTTCCTCCATGCGATACATCCTCCGGAAGAGCTTCCGCTTCTTGAGGTCAGCAGCGTGATCCTCCCAAACCAGGCGCCGTGGCTCGTGGATAGCCGCACGCGTCTTGTTAGCGCTAGCGTGCACAGCTACAGAGGTGACCACTGCCGCCGCGCTCAGCACCAGAATCACCGCAGCAGCAGCTGCTTTCATCTGCCGCACCAGCTCTTGGCGACCGGATGCACGCCTGAATCGTTGGCTCGGTGGGCCAGCACACGACGAACCAAGAGGCGCGCCGCGTTTCCTGCGGTCCGCCATGGCCCTGCCGCTATCCAAGTACCCTCCGCTGCTGCTTCTCCCTTGTAGTTGGTCATGTAGGTCCTTCAGCTGCTGGGTTTGTTGTGATGCTCCA